CTCCTCCACCCTCACCCCCTGCTCCTCCCCCTCCTCCCCTCCCGCCCCCGCCCCCGCCCCCACCGCCGCCACCACCTCCCCCAGCACCCTGCACCGCTGCAGGTGCGCCACCGCCACCGCGGCAGCGCCCACACCCGCCCCGCACCCGCCCGCGGCAGACAGCAGCGCAGCAGCTACCGCAGCACCGCACCCCCCGCCTCCTCCTCCCCCTACAGCAGCACCCCTGCTAGGGGCAGCAGTGGCGGCCTGCAGGGTGGAGAACAGGAAGGCAGCGGCGCCCGCACCTCCCCCCTCCTCCTCCTCCTCCGCCTCCCCATGGCAGGGAACGCGGAAGTGTCCGGGGCGGCCGGGAGGTGGCAGCGGGACCAGCTTGATGGGAGCAGACGAGGCGCCGAAAGAGGCGCCAGCAGAGGGGGAGGAGGAGGTGGAGGAGCAGCCGCCTCCCAGACCCAGCGTGTCCGCGAACCGAGTGACGGCGGCGGTGGTGGCGGGGGAGAGGCTGCCCCGGGCGGTGACGATCTCGGCTGGCTGGAACCTGGGGGGCCGGGGAGGGAGAGGGGGGAGGGAGAGGGGGGTTTGTGGGGAAGGGGAGGAGGGAGTAAGGAGGGAGGTCAGGCGGCGGGTAGGGGAAGTGGGCCTGACCCAGATCCCTCCTGGCCTGCACACTCATAGCGCCCCTGGCAACCCCGCTGGGACCCGCTCCTCTCCTCTCCCCCTCCTCTCCCCCGCCCCTGCCTCTCCTGTCTACCCCCCCCTCCCACCCCCCCCCACCTCAGCAGCAATGTGGCCAGCCCGCTCCTGCCCGCCGTGTCCCGCCCCGCCCCCACCCAGCACCGACCCAGCCCGCAGTCCACCAGGCAGGCCCCCAGCAGCCCCCCGGGGGCCTCAACCAGCGACAGGAAGGAGCGGGAGGAGGAGCAGCCCCCGCCCCCGCCGCTGCTGCTGTTCCCCCCCAAGAAGAAGGAAGAGGGTGACTCGTGCTGCTGGGGGAGGTAGCTGGCCACCGCGGTGCCGGGGGTGTAGATGCGCACCAGCCGCCGCGGCAGCAGCTTGCCGGCCCCCGCCTGCCGCCGCCCGCCGCCCGCCTCCCTCCCCCCGCGCACCTCCTCCACCCGCCCCACGCTGTAGCCCAGGGCTAGGACCTTGGTGGCCCAGGCGGGGAAGGCGTCGCGGGTGCAGCCCACCTGGGGGGAGGAGGGAGGGTGGGAGGCGCGGTACACGGGACTGTTTGTGGGAGTTAGTGCTGGTCGGCTCGGCCCTGCAGCTCCCTCGCGGCTCCGTTTATCTAACCCCCCGCGACTGCCGACCCACCTTCCACATGTTTGCATCGCGCCGGCCCGACAGGTTGAGCCCCACTCGCAGCCCCACGTCCGCATCCGTGTCAAACAGGTTGTAGAAGGAGCCGTGCCGCACAAACTGGGGGGGAGGGGGGAGGGGAGGGGCAGGAGGGGGCGGGGAGGGGGCCGGGGAAGGTGGGGGAAAGGTGCGGATTTGGTGCCGCGGCGCAAGGCAACCACAGGACACAGGCAGCGAACAGGAGGCGAGGGGTCCCGGGACTTTAGGTGCTGTCAAGGACGCTTCCTCGCTCCCCTCTCTTCCCCCGTAACCCAGCCCCCTCCCCCTCCCCCCCCTCTCCCACCAGCACCAGGTCCATGGCCCGCGCCTTGACGGCCCAGAACTGGCGGCAGAAGGCGGTCATAGAGGCCAGGGCGGCGGGGGGGACGTGCAGCGTGCTGGGGTCGTAGTCGGGGTGACCTGATGGTTGGGGGGAAAGTAGGGGTGAGGAGGGGAGGTGCATGGTGGGGGTGGTGCAGTAGGTTGGCGGCGCAAAGCTGAAGAGCGCTAGGCGTTATTAGCCTGGGAGTATCCCCGTAGGCTGCAATGTGACTATACTGGTGACAGACAAACCGCATACCCCCCGCATGGTGCATCCCTCACCTCACTCCCAGCCCCCCCCCTTTCCCTTACCCGGCGGCCGCCCCTCCGCGTCCCGCCTCTCCTCCGCCAGCCAGGCCCACCGCCGGCCCCCGCAGTCTCCCGCGCCGCACTCGTCCCCCGCCGGGCCCCCGTCACGCAGCAGCGCGGCGGCAGCGGCAGCGGACCGGGGCCGGCTTGAGCTGCGACCCGCATGCTGCTGCTGCGGAGGGGGAGGACGATGAGGAGGGTGCGCATGCGGCTTCCCTTGGGGCTGCTGAGGGTGGAGCTGGGGCCACTGCTGAGCGTGGTCTGGGGATGAGGCGAGGGGCCACTGCCCCTGCTGCTGCCCCTGTTGCAGCTGTTGTTGTCCCCCCGGGGTGATGCATGTCAGGGGTAGCTGGTTGGGAGTGGGTAGCAGCGGCTGCAGCGGCTGCCGGGGCTGGTTGGGAGGCCGCTGCTGCTGCTGCTGCTGCAGTGGTGGCTGCCCCGGCGGTGGTGGTGCAGGCGGCCGCCGGGGACCCCAGGCGCTGCTGGCTGGCGGCGTGTGGGCGGGCAGCGGAGGGTCATAGGGTGTGGGGTGGTGCTGGTGCTGCTGGGGCCGGCAGCTGATGCTGCTGCTAGGTGTGGGTACAGAGGAGTCGGTCCCCTGCTGCCCCGCCTGCTGCTGCCGCTGCTGCTGCCTGTTGGTCGCCAGGCGCTGTTTGAGCAGCTGCTGCTGGCGGCTGCCCAGGGGCTCAGCGGAGGGGGTGGCGGAGGGAGGTGGCGAGTGAGAGGGGCCCCCACATGACACCTGGGGGCGCACCGCAGCAGCATGCAGGGGGGTCCCCTGGGGCTGCTGCTGCCGCTGCTGTCGCCCCGCTGCTGCTGCTGCTGCTCCGTCGGGGGGCTGCTGCTGCTGAGCTGCCTTGCGGCGCCGCACCGCCATCAGCCGCTGCATGAGCGTCAGCTCCTCACCACCCGGGGCGGCATCATCACCACCACCACCTGCACCTGCACCTGCATCGGCAACGCCGCTGCTGCACCCTGCGTGTAGGGGTACGCCCTGCTGGTGATGGTTGTTGTGGTGGTGGTGCTGCTGCTGCTGCTGGCGGCAGGCGGCAGCCCGGTTGGCTGGGCCGCCGCTGTGGCGTGATGCGGCCAGATGGGCGGCAGCGGGTACCGGATCTCCGCATGCCGCCAGCGTAGGCCGTTGCTGTTGTTGTTGCTGTTGTTGTTGTTGTTGTTGCTGCTGGTAATACTGAGGCTGCTGGTGGTGGTGGGGAGTCATACCCACCCCGGTGCCCAGGTTAGGGTACCCGGTATCCCCTCCGGGTCCAGCCGGCTGCTGCCAGGGTGCATGCCCCTGCTGCGGGTGCTGTCCCGGACAGGAGGACTGCTCCTGCGGTGACACCTGCCCCGGCTGCGGCCCCTGCGGCCCCTGCGGGCACCGCTGCCCCCCCTGCCCCCCGCCGCCTCCCTCCAGCCGGGGCCGCACGCATCTGTCAGCCGCTCCGCCTGCAGGCAGCCCGCCCCCTCCACCGCCCTCCGCCCCCTCCCCCTCAGCTAGCACCCAGGGGCCGCGGCGCTGCGGCAGCTGCTGGGCGGAGGTGGGAGAGGGAGAGGAGCAGTGAAGGCGGTGTTGATGGTGTTGATGTGGGTCGGCGCTACTGCAGCCGCTGCTGCTGCAGCCGGGGGGTGGCTGCTGCTGCTGCTGCTGCTGCTGCTGACGTGGCATGCGGCCGCCATGTGGGTTAGGGCGGCAGCCGCTGTCAGGTGCGATAGAGGCGCGCGGCGGCGGTGGCGGCGGTGATGTGGGTCGGGACCCCGGTGTGGTGAGGCCGCCTGCCGCCAGGTGGCTCTGCAGGGCTACAGTCGACCCGGGGCCACAGGGGTCGTGGCATGCGGGGAGGGCGGTGCTGGGCGGGATGGGGGCGGGCGTGTGGTGCCTGTGAGCGCTGATTCCGGCGTCTGCAGGGGCCCTGACGCGTGGTAGCTCCTGCTGCTGCTGCTGGTGTCGGTGCGAGGGCTGGGGTTGCATGGACTGCTGCTGCTGTTGTTGCTGTTGCTGGGCTAGGTCCGGTTGCTGTTGGCCTTGAGGTCGCTGTCGTTGCATAGGTTGCTGTTGTCGTTGTCGTCCTTGCTGTGGCCATCCTGGCTCAGAAGCGTGTGAATTAGGGCCGGCTTGCGGCGAGGTGTTAAGCTGCTGCGCGGCTTGTCCAAGCCACGCTTCTCGCGACTGATGATTTGGGAGCTGATGCGACGTGTGCAAAGGAGCCGTGGCTTGTTGGGCTTGGATTGGATTCAATTCCGGTGCCGGCAGGTCTTGGCGCTGCTTGGAAGCTCCTGGTGCGAGCGAGCCAGCAGCCGCGTCCTGTTGTCGCGCGACCGCGTCGAAGCTGGGATCGCGTCCGAGTTGCCTCACGCTGCTCACAATTCGGTTAACCATGTCGCGGTCCCATGGTGGAGGAGCTGTGAATATACTGTGGAGCCAATCTAGGCCGTCTAGGTGGTTTTGGTTCATGTACGCTATCTCGCCTTTCGAATGGCAATCAAAATAAGTAGGATTGATGGTGACTGACAATAGTAATTAGATCACAGATGAAAGCACCGGGAGACGCCAGGAAGCTCTTTGATCCACTCAGGCGTATTACAAATGCCGTACTCGTTTCCCGCCAACCGCTCATATCCATTTACTCCATCGCCAATAATTCAACTTGTTTACTTTGTATACAGTCATACTGTAATCCTACTGCACGGTCTCTGTTCTGGCGGCTTCCACGCAAGGCTGGGCCCTAATGAACCTGTGGTGCTCGATAGTCTCATTCTTCATCACCATTTCGTAGGCAAAGTGCTTTTAGCGTTTGAAATGGGACTACTGCTGGACCTCCAACCCCAAGATCCCGGGCCTCGCAGCTCCGAGCCGCGACTGGTGCTGTCGTGGCTGGGGATCTGCGTAGGAGTACTTCTCTGCATACCAACGGGCCTTGGCCCAGATGCTGCTGCCAGAGCGTTGTTGGGCGGTGGCTTCCTCCTTCTGGGAACGATAGGCATGTTAACGCGACGAGGCGGTGTACCGGGTCGCGTTGGGGTGATCCTGGTAGTAATCGTATGCAGTCTTACATACATGTGGTTGCATGCAACGTACCGACTCCAGAACCTCAAGAACGAGGTTGTAGTGGGCGGATTTCTTTTACTTGTTGGGCTGGCTTGGCGTCTCGCGACAGGTCCTGCCCGCCCTGACAGGCTTGCGGATGCCCCACAGCAGCAGCAACCACAGCGGCCATCCGGGCAATCGCTAATGAAAGAAAAGATCGGCTAACCCAACAATGGGCACGATATATGTGTAAGGATGAAACGGCTTTTATTCTCTCCAATCGTCACACCCGCTATCAACACGCATGTAGCTGATAACCACCCGCACCAACACATTCGGTGCACCGATGGGTATACAAATGAAAGGCAAGGCAAGAGATCAGCAAGGTCACACCTGCAAGGGATTCAAATTCGCGTACAACAAACCGTACAGCAAACGCCATCAGCTCTCCAACAACGCTTGCACCAATCGCAATCTTCACACACATGCACAATGCAAATCGTATGAACTCCCTTCAGCTCATCAGCTGGAGCCCGGCCCCTTCGGTGCACACCCGAAGAGCAGCAAACGGGATCCGGATCTTGGTTTCATCACGACATGCATGTTTCCTCTCACGCACAACAACAGCGCTGCACATGCAGCAAATTGAAACACACTAGTTCGGCAGCTAGGGTTCCCACAAGAGAGGCTTACACAGCCCCTACAAACTCACCGCTTAATGCTGAGAATAATAGTCAATAAATAACCCCAACCCGCCCAGCAGCTTCCCCCCTTGCCGACACCCTTGCGAATGTGCCGTACTGCAATGCCCTCAGCTGCACCCGCAGCCTGCACAGCCCACCAGCCTCCTGCGCTCTCCGCCTAGCCGCCTAGGTTCTTTAATGCCGGTATTATTGTATTTTACAATATAATATAAATCCCGCGCAGAGCGCTTGCAACACGACAAGTGCCCTCCATTCCTCCTCATCCCGCTCCTCACCCCACTCCTACCTCCGCTCCGGAGACAGGTGCGCCAGGATGTCAAACACCGCACGCTGCCTTGCACCCCCCTCCCCGCTCCCCACATGCCCCCCCGCACCCGCACCACCCGCACCCCGCACCCCGGAACCCCTTCCCTCCTCCCCTGGCGCCTCCCCCTGCCCCGCACCCCAGCCCCGCAGCTGCCCCACCAGCGTCCTCACCCCGCCGTGACCGCTCCTATCCCCCTCCCCATCCTCCTCCTCCTCCTCGGCCCCCACCACTCGGGGACTCAGGATGGCCCCGGGTACCGGCGCCGCCGCCAGCCGCCCCGGCCCCAATGCCAGCCCGCTGCGATGCAACGGAGCGGTGGCGCCTGGCGGCCTCGTCAGCCCCCCACCCCGCATCAGCCTCAGCTCGCCGCCCTCCTCACCCGGCCCGCTGATGGTGGTGGCGGCGGCAGCAGCGGTGTCCGCATCCGCCCATGCCAGGGACACCGAGCTGCCGGCGGCCCACTCGTCCGCGCTGGCGGCTGAGAGCAGCGGAATGGGGTGTGACATGAGCGGCCGGTGCGGGGGAGGGCCGCAGCAGCCGCTGCTGCGGGCGGTAATGGCGGCGCCCGGGCCCGCACCCTCGCCGGGCCCCCCAGCTGCGGTTTCTGCAACTGGGGCTGCGGGTACGGCCGAGGCTACGTCGGCGGCGGTGATGGTGATGGCGGTGGTGGTGGGGGAGTCAGGTGCGCCGCCCCGATGACCCGATGCATCCAGCCTTCGCCCCTGCCCGCCCATGTGCTCCTCCCAGGGCAGCTGAGACAGCCCCGCCACCTGCTCACTGGGAAGCGATGTCAGCAGCGAGGGGCGGGAGAGCCCCCCCGAGGCGGTCCCTGCAAGGGGCCTCCCCAGCCGGTCCCCCTCGGCGGCAGCAGCAGCAGCAGCACTCCCCGCCTCGTGAGCAGGAGGCAGCTCGGAGGGCTCGACGGAGGGGTAGGACGCCAGCAGCCCGGGTAGTGTGGGCTCGACTGCAGCAGCAGCAGCAGCTGGCGAACCGGGGGGCCCTGGGCTGCTGCTGCTGATGCCCCTGGAGCCTTCGGCTGCAGCACCCAAGATGTTCAGCTCGCCCGCCAAGGGTGCCGCAGCATCAGCAGCGGCAGCGAATGCGCTGTACATGCGCCCCAAGCTCCTGCCCGCGGGGCGACTGAAGGGCACCGCTGCCGCCCGGGCTGCCGCGGCTGCTCCGCTGGGGGAGCAGGAGGCCTGAGCGAGGGGTCCTAGCAGCTCTTGGGCTGGCGAGATGGACCCGTGGGCGCCACTCGGCCGGAGGGATAAGGAGGGCGAGGGGTAACGCTGCTGCTGCTGCTCCTGCTGCTGCGTCAGTGACAGTGAGGAGTGCTGCTCCTGCAGCTCCTGCTCCTGCAGCTCCTGCTGCTGCTGCTGGTGCAGTAGCAGCTGGCTGCGACGGCGCTCATCCGCCAGCCGCTGCAGCCGCTGAGCCACCATCTGAGCCGCCTGTACGGCAACCGACAAGGTACGAGTGTCAGGCAGCCACTCCCCCGCCCCCGCCCCGTGTTGGCCCCCGCCGCCAGCAGCGGAGGGCGATGCGGCCAGCAGGGCAGCAGGAGCGGCCCCCGGTCCGCCGGCGACACTGGCCCCCATGCGCCCCCCGCCGTCGCCTCCAAACTGCAGCAACTGCTGCTGCTGCTGCTGGTGTTGCTGCCACTGATGTCGCTCGTACTGCTGTCGCTGCTGCTCGTACAGCTGCGAGCGCCGGGAGAGGTCCGGCAGCTCCGGTTGCGTGAAGGCTCGAGCCGGGGGCTGCATGTCATGGTCATGTGCAGCCCCCACCCGCCTCCCCGCCGCCTGCCCATGCGGACCCACCCCTCCCGGCAGCTGCGAGCGAGCCCGCTGAAAGCAGTGTGCGAACATGGCGGCCCCGGGGTCCAGATCCTGCACCCCCAGGGCAGCACTGAGGGGGCTGGCAGTGCCCATGCCTGAGCCCGCAGCAGCAGCAGCAGCAGCCAGGGAGCCCCCTCCCTGCTGCTGCTGTGCCCTGGCGCCCTGGGCTGCGGCGGACACGGCTGCCTGGGCCAGCAGCAGCGCCGCGGCGGGGGAGCGCTGGTAGGGCAGCAGCGCCAGCTGGACTGCGGAGGGGGTGGGCGGGAAGGGCTCCACGTCGGCGGAGGGGCTGGGGCTGATGTTGCTGGTGGTGGTGGTGGCGCCCCCGCCTCCACCGTACATTGGGTTGTAGTACAGCTCGGTATAGTGGAGGTGGTTGGGGTTAGCGCATGGCTGGGCGGGTTGCTGCTGCTGATGATGATGATGGTGAGCATCGTGGTGGCAGCTAAACTGACTCCGCTGACCCTGCTGTTGAGGCAGCTGTTGAGGCTGCTGTTCTCCCTGCAGCTGGTCCGGCTGCGGTAGCCAGCCCTGCTGCCGGGGGGACAGCTGCAGCTGCGGGTGCGCGGTCCTGCAGCCGGCCCCCGGGCGCTCCCCAGCTGCCGCCGCCGCCGCCCCAGTAGCCCCCTCACCACTTGCCCCCCCTCCACAACGCTGCTGCTGCTGCTGAGGTGCGGGCGCCAGTCGCGAGGAGGAGGCGGACGACAAGCTGGCCCGCACCGCCTGCAGCAGGCTCACACTCCTCCGCACCCGCCGCCCGCCGCCACTCACACCAGCACCCGCACCAGCCACCGACTGGCGTCCCCCGCCGGCGCCAGCTGCTGCAGCACCACCGGCCCGCTGCCCCTCCGCCGTCCCACCCACCACCGCCTCATGCTCATCAACCTGCCCCCCAGTCGCCGCCGAGCTGGCTGACGCCGGTCTGGACGCCCCGCCCCCTGCCGCCCCGGGCTGCCAGGTGGCCAAGTGGCGCAGCGGGTGGGCGGGCGGGCGGAGCCCCAGCAGCTGCTGCAGCAGCCCTGCACCCGCTGTACCTGCACCTGCTGCTGCTGGGGGCTGCAGGAAGCTGCCCGGGGGGCTGAGGGCGGGTAGCGTGAGGTGGCTGCTGCTGCTGCTGGGGAGGGTGCTGCCCCCACCTGCTGCTGCAGTGGTGGAGGCGGTGGTAGGGGCGGCGAGGGCGGCAGCAGCAGTCCCCGACCTCACCTGACGTGCAGCGGCCAGGGAGGAGAAGGAGGAGGATGGGGGCGATATGGCCGCGGCTGCAGCTGCTGCGGTGAATGTTGAGGAGGGGGCGGGCTGTGAGGAGGCGGCCCCCAGCAGCCCCTGCCCCTGCCCCGCCTGCTGTTGCTGCATGTGCAGCAGCAGCTGCCGCTGGTAGTCCTGCAGCCGCTGCTGGTAGAAGGCGAGCTGTTGCTGCAGCTGCCGGTGGTGCAGCTCAGGACTCGGGAACGAGGAACCGCCAGCCGCCCCAGCCGCTAAGAAAGCCCCGCCCTGCAGGCCCCCGCCAGCCGCCTCGCCTCCACCCCCCGGCGGCTGCCCGCCCGCAGCCGTGTGTGGCCGCATGCTGCCGGACGCAGCCGACCGCCCGGGGCCCTCCACCCCCCCTGCAACCGCCCCTGCAGCCGCCCAGGCGCCCGACTGCAACCCCCCCGCAGGCCACCCCACACCTCCACCGCCAGCATCTGCAACACCGCCATAGCCCGCATGCCCCTGCACCGCCTCCTCCTCCCCTGCCGCCTCCACCGCCCCCGGCAGCAGCGCCGCGTCCACCAACCCCAGCTGCTGCTGCTGCTGCTGACCCAAGGGCGCTGCTGACGCCTGCGCGGCAGTGCTGCCGTTGTTGTCACTCGCCGCCCCCTGCCCCTGCCCCCCTTGCCCCGCCCCCTCCGCCAGCTCCAGTCCGCACAGCAGTCCGCAAAAGCCCGCCAGGATGCGCCCCATGGCCCGCAGCCCCAGGAACATGCCCTCCAGGCGCATGCGCTCCTCGTCGGGCAGCACCAGCTTCTGATGGGGGGGGGGGGCGGGGTGGGAGTGGGAGTGGGAGGGAGAGGCAGGAAAGGAGGCAGAGGCGGCCGTCACGTGGGATGACCGCGGTCATATGAGATCCCGTACGGCACTGCAAAGAACCGCAATCTAGTAGCTAATACCCCACCCGGGGGCCCTCCCGCCCCCGCCCCTCCCACCCCGCCCCCCGCCTCTCACCAGGTAGTGCACCACCGCCGCCCGCAGCAGCCCCGCCGCCACCAGCTGGCAGCAGCGGACCACCAGGAACAGCGAGAAGCCGCGCAGGCACACGAGCACGGTGCCGATGGTTTGCAGCAGCAGGAACAGCTCGCTGATGTAGGGCTTGTCCTGCAGGCCGGCTGGAGGGGGGGAGGGAGGGGCAGGGGGTAAAGAGGAAACAACTAACTGACTGAGGGATAAGGCGTCAACAAGGGGGAGGGGGGATGGAGGGAGGGGGGAGGAGGATGGCGTCATGGGACGGGAGCGAAGGGCTGGAAGGAGGTGCTGCTATAGGATGCTGCATGGTCGCGCTAGCCAAGAGGCTCGCCTCCCCGCACTGCTGCCCACATCTCCCTGCCCTCCAGCCCTAGCCTCCCAGCCGTCCACCCCAACCCCACCCCTCCCCACCCAGGAGCACCCACCCACGAAGCCCACTAGGTCTATGATGAGGCTCAGCGACATCTCCTCCAGCGTCAGGTCTGGGGGGGGGAAGGGGCAGGGGGGTTCAGGGGAGGGAGCGGGGGCAGGGGTGTGAGGGATGGTGGGTGGCGAGGTCATGAGGTGGAGGCAACGAGGTGGAGGTCATGTGGTAGGGCAGAGCAGCGCCCTGTCTGCCACACCCCACCCTACCACCCTCCTCCCAGCCACCCACCACCTGTCTCCCCCTAGCCCCACCTGCAGGGTCCGGCCACCACAGCACCAGCGACTTGCCCCGCGAGACGCCCTGCCGCCGCAGGCTGCCCACCCCGCCGCGGATCAGCTGGAAGAGCAGCGAGGCGGCGAAGAACAGCGCGTCGCAGACTGGGGGTGGGAGGTAGTGGGAGGTGGGAGGAGGAGGAGGGCGGGACAGGTGGGAGGAGTCCAGGTAGCTTGGGAGGATGCCCACAATCATGCCAACTGTGCAACATACAAGGTTGCTTATGTTTTGGAGTTGCGCCGTTGCGAAATCAACGTTTGTGCGCTTAAGCACGTGTAGCGGTACCCGCGCTTACCAACAAGGATGAGGAACACGGTTCGGCGACGACGGAGGGTGGTCCTTCGGAACAATTGCGCCTGCTGGTGCCGCAAGGCATCAAACGCTGCAGCGTAGGAGGACCCAACATGTCGTTATACATACTCGCGGAAGAAGCTTGCGGCTTAGCAAGAACTTGCCTGCATCCGCCTCTGCATTTGCCCTTGCCGCTGGTTGGTGAGAGCGTCGCACGCGCCTGCGGCGGAAAACTTGCGGTACCCTAGAGACATCAACACCAACGACTGTTGAACCGTCTGGATGCTCGAAAATTACGACGGCATCATCAGGGACATCCGGGACCTCTGGAACGTCGGAGTTGGCGCCGATGACTGGCCACGTCAAACCCCCCTCAAGTAGTGCGCGAATGTTTGCATGATGAGCGTGCTCAGAATGCGCCCACGCGGTCGTCTGCATTTCGCTGGCCTGCTTGACCTCGCGAAATTGAATGGTAGGTTATATGTTCAGTGCGTAGCACATGCTTCTTGGGCCTTCAAAGACATGCCACCTTTATGCACAATCATTTAACTGAAGAGGTTCACAGCGTCTCATTTGTGCATAAGACTAACCACACGTTAGGTAAACCCCCTCAGCGACACACGCTACGAAGTCCGACTTTCACACGACAAATGTAACATTTAAACTAATGGCTGATAGTTGAACTTGTTTGCTTAGTAACATTCAGCACGGCCATTGACCAGGACAAGTACGGTTGCTCCGAGAACAGCGCTAGCGTTACTGCGGCGGTGCTGTGCATGCGCAACAAAAGCATTTCGATGCGTTTACGGCGCTACTGTATATTAAATGCTCCAAGAAACAAAGGCTTTGCCCTTGACGGCATGGTCGCTAGGGCAACATCCCTCCTAGTCGACCCCCGTCCACTCAACTTCCATCCAACACTCCTTCCCGCACCTGCGCCTCGACTGCCTCTCGAGCCACGCCCCATTGCCCTTGCCCATGGCCTTGAGTAGACGTGAAGCCAAAACGCCGCAAGCTCCTATCCTTCCTCTATGCACGGCTTCCGTCACGTCTCTGGGAAGTCTACCACAAAAATCCCAAGCAGCCAGCGCGCGTTTTATTACCCCCGCGTCAACATACCCATACCCCATAAGGGCCATAACCCCCTCACGTAGACTTTCGTCCGAAAACCCGGCGTTCAGCCCTGATTATGGCCTTTATGGTCTGTGCATTGTTGTGCTAGCCCCGCAGCCATATCGCCAGGACTCCTGTTGGTCCTGTTGCCGAGTAACTGAGGTTTGCTGCAGCCCTTTACAGACTAGCAAGGTGCAAAGGGGTTACAGCAAGGACGTCGGTAAGGCAGCGCATGTTGCAAAAACAGTAGTACAGTACCGGTAACGACCACCCCAAAGCGAAGAACCCTTAAGCTATGCCCATGTGCATCATGACTTCTGCTATCACGTCAACTTGACGATGAAAGCTGGCTCAGGAAGGTTGGCTCCGAAGCTGGTTACAGCAATGGGTGGTGCTCTGGCGCCATAGCTTAGGCAGCCACGGTCATGAACACGCGCATTGTGCTTTCCGTCTCTCAATACTACGTGCGGTCCGCACAGCTGTGCGTCCTGGACCCTAGTTCCAACTGGCCCGCGCAGCTGGAACGTAAAGCATTCCGCGAGGCCGCATACGAATGCTTCGATCACAACTGTAGACGCGAAAAGACATCTCTTTCTTGTGAAAAAAGGCAGCTGTTGTTCGTGGAGAATGGCTAGTAATGGTGGCTTGCAGTGGTGCGGAGGGCTTGCCAACGTGGGCTGGCTTGGACCGCTCATGTCACCTTGCTCCTTTGAAAGCGTGTCGTCGGCAATTCTGCTTGCGATCGCTCTTGTCTCCCTCCTGGCGCAAGCCCATCGCTTGGCAGTGATCCAGCATCTCCGGGCGCAAGGCAGACTGCGGAAGGCCGTGAGCGGGCTCAACGGCTCCTTCATCGCTGCGTCGCTATTTATATGTGGAACACATTTGCTGCACTTCACCGTTGGCGTCGTGGCGCTCCGCTCATTTCCCTACCATGTCACCTATCATGCCTTCCTCGCAATCGTCTGGGCCCTAATCTCCGTGCTTGCCATCTACACGGGTCGCCTGCTGGTTAGCGTTGATTTCCGCGCGGTGACACTGCCGGCCACGCTGGTATATGCCATCAGGTGTGAACAGGATGGACACCAGATGGGTGCAATGTTGACCGCATTTTAGTTGGCGTTTGGAAAGGCGTATACAAAGCAACTGGACTCTTGCAAGCGCCAACCATCTGCTTGCTGGCCCTCTTTCATGCATCTACACGTGCAAGCAACTCCCAAACCTCAAATCACCCTTCCCTACATCCCTCCCTCCCTAACCCCTTCCCTCCTCCCCTCTCCTCCCCCCCTCCTCCCGCCCCCAGCCTCTACTCCTTCTACCGCCTCTACTTCGACCCCCACGCCATGCCCCTGCCCTACATCAAGGCCGCCATCTGGACCGCCATGTTGCAAACCGTGGTGGCCTCGCTGGCCAGCTGGCTGGGCTTCCGCCGCGCCGCGCAGTGCCCCCCCGCCCCCGCCATGCAGGCGGCCCTGGGACTCCCCGGGGCCTACCAACAGCTGCCGGCGGGCGCTGAGGAGGGCGCCGGGGGTGCTGCTGCAGGCGCCGCTAGCAAGCCCTCCGGCAGCGGCGGCGGAGCAGCCGGCGGCGAGTCTGGACCCGACGGCGAGGACGGTGACGGCCGCAGCTGGATCAGCCTGTTCAGCGATGCGTGCGCCTACGTGTGGCCGGAGAGCCGCGGGCTGCAGCTGCGCACGCTGGGCTGCCTGGTGCTGCTGGTGGCGATGCGGGTGATCAACCTGGCGGTGCCCATCCTGTACAAGCGGGTGGTGGACACGCTGGCGGGGGCGGGGGCGGCAGGGGGCAGGCAGCCGCTGGGGCCGCCGGCTGGCATGGGGGCAGCAGGGGGAGCAGCAGCAGGGGGGGAGGTGCCGGGCGGGGCGCTGGGCGGGTTGTTCCGGGTGGCGGGTGTGTGGCGTGCCGGCGGGCTGGCGGGTGTGGCGGGGCTGGTGGCGGAGGGTGGAGGCGGGGAGGCGGGGGGGGATGTGCGGTTCGGGTCGCTGGTGTGGCCGTGGGTCGCGCTGTACCTGGGCGCGGTGTTCTTCCAGGGTGGAGCGGGGGGCGGCATCGTGGGCTTCATCAACAACGTCAGGTGGGAGGGGGGAGGGGAGGGGAGGGAGGGAGGGGAGGGGAGTGGCTTGGGAGGGGAGGGAGGCGAGACATGGGGCTGAGGGAGGGCCAAGGGGGGGGGCGGGTGGGTGGAGCTGCTAGGGCTAAGATCGCGAGCATGCGGAGGAGGGGCGGTGGAGCGGGTGTGAATGGGGAGGGGAGCCGGCCTGCATCTGAGGCTACCCTGCACGCCTGGCCTCCCCGCATGCCCCCCCGGGGCCCTGCACACCCGCCACCCTACCTCCCACCACACGTCCGCCGGAACCAACCAGGGAATGCCGTACACTCATGCATCCCTCTAACCCCACCCCACCCCGTCCTGTCCCTCCCCCCTATCCCGCAGGTCGTACCTGTGGATCCCGGTGTCCCAGGACGCTTACAGGTGGGTGCCCTTCCGTGCCTGTGTTTGCTGCCTTGCGGTTCCTTTCTACCCCCGGCTCCTGGGATTGCAACGTAACGCCCCTCCCACCCCTCCCCATCACCTGTGGTTTGGTATGTTTCTGACCCTCCCCCTCCCGCTCCCGCTCCCTCTCCCCCCTCCCCCCTCCCCCCTCCCCCCCCCAGGCGCATCAGCATCCGCGTGTTCGACCACGTTATGTCGCTCGACCTCTCCTTCCACCTGCGCCGCAAGACCGGCGAGGTGACCAAGGTGGTGGACCGGGGCACCAGCGCCATGCAGAACATACTGTCAACCATACTCTTCAACGTGCTGCCGCAGGTGGGGCCGGGCGGGAGGGAGGGGGGGGAGGAGGGGAGGGGGAGGGGGGAAGAGGGGAGGGGGAGGGGAGCGGGAGGGGAGGAGAGGGGAGGGAAGGAGTGACAAGGCGTCACCATGGGGGAGATGTGTGGGGGAGGGTTTGGCAAGGCGGCGGGGAGGCAGGGTGTGGGGATAAGCGGTGTGCAGCATGCTCGGGGGACCGGGGCCAGGGGTGGGGATCCGGGGGGGGGGCTTTGGAGGGGTGTGCTGAATGAAGGTGGTCACTGCGATCGAAGCTACGACGTCGTGACACTGAACCCCCCCGTCAGTTTATCTAATCCCCGTCCCCATGACGTGATGCTTCCGTCTTTCCTCAACCTCCCCTCCCCTCCTCCTTCCCCCCCAGATCTTCGACGTGCTAGCCGCCGCCACCTACCTGGCCCAGGCGCTGGAGCCCACCATCGCCATCATCGTCTTCTTCACCGTCGGCTCTTACATCCCGCTCACCATCGCCATCACCGAGTGGCGGGCCAAGCTGAGGAGGGAGATGAACAGCACCGACCAGGTGAGGGGTGCGGGAGCGGAAGGGGGGCGTGGGAGTCCTACTCACGAGCAGCCGTATGCGCGATTTTTCTCGGGGAGGCCCTCATCCTGCCCTCCCCCGGGGCCCCTACCCCCTCATCAGTGTCGTCATCATCCCTCTCACCCCCCCTCCCCTCCTCCCCAGATCAAGTCCGCCCGCGCCACGGATGCGCTGCTCAACTACGAAACCGTCAAGTACTTCACAAATGAGAAGTGAGGGGGGTGGGGGGGCGGGTGTGGCGGGGGCTGCAGCAATGCCTGGCCTAACCTAGGGCCACCTGGCAAAGAACAAGTCTCCTTCCATCTGCACGCTCCCCCTAGCCACAGCTTCCCTCAACGCCTCCCCCCTCCCCTCTCCCCCTCCCCCTCCCCCTCCCCAATTTGAGATGCGTGTCTTTAGAATAGTGTCTCCGAATGCGCTCACTGCATGAGTCGGGATATGGGATTGGGACTCGTTGTTTCACATATTTAATTTTTCCCCCCTCCCCCCCCCAGGCACGAGTCTCAGTGCTACGCCGCCTCCATCGCCGCCTACCAGTCCGCCGAGTTCCGCTCCCTGTCCTCCATCAACCTGCTCAATGTGGTGCAGAGCGGAATCATGTTCGCGGGCATTGCGTCGGGGCTGCTGGTGTGCGCAGGTGGGGGGAGGGTGGGTGGGATGGAGGGGGATGAGGCCGGGGGGGGGGGTGAGATGCGTGTGTATGGGGTTTGTTAGGGGATGGAAGTTCCTCACGGCGTTGAATGGGCTGGAAATGCGGGCTGAAGGGGGAGGGAGGCTGGGCGGTGTTTGTGCTGGTGTCGGCTGCCCTCCTACGGGCCATGTGCTGCCCGCGCAGTGCGTGTTAACCGCATGGCTCCCCCTCCCCTCCCTCCCCTCCCCCCCTTCCCCTCCCCTCCCCAGGCGGTGTCGCCTCCCACGTGTTGACGGTGGGCGACGCGGTGCTCTTCCTCAGCCTCATGGCGCAGCTGTACGGCCCGCTCAACTTCTTCGGCAGCTACTACCGAACCATACAGCAGTACATGGTAAGGGGGGGAGGAGGGGTGGGGGGGTTGCATGGTGTGCATGGACGGGGTGTGCGGACTGGACTCGCAGGGGAACACGCCAAAACACACTCCTGATGAACACCTGCTCTCTCCCCCTCCTCCCCGCACATTAGATATTCTTCTTTTCCCCCCTCCCCCCCCCCTCCCCCCCCCCTCCCCTCCTCCCCCCCAGATCGACATGGAGAACCTGCTTGAGCTGCTGGGGCGGCGCGGGGGCGTGCAGGACGCACCCACCGCCCGGGAGCTGGTGGTGGCAAAGGGTGAGAAGGGGGAAGGGGAGGAGGGAGAGGGGTTTGGGTGCTTTGCGTTGGCCAGCTGGTGAATGTAACGATGCGATCCACCCTCACTGCCTTTGCCGATCTCCTACGACACTCACAGTCCGTTGCGCGCATACCCCGTAACTGTTACCCCCTTGCCCGGTCCCCGCTTGGACCCCGCTTGGCCCCCCCTCCCCCCCCTGCTGCAGGCGAGCTGGTGTTCGACGACGTGTGTTTCCAGTACGACGCGGGCCAGGTGGTGCTGCGGCACGTGAGCTTCCGGGGGGCGGGCGGCCGCACGCTGGCGCTGGTGGGGGCGACTGGCAGCGGCAAGAGCACCATCACACGACTCATTTTCAGGTAGGGGGAAGGGGGGAAGGGGGGGGGGAGTTGCCGGGTTGTGGAGGTGGGAGGTGGTACGGTTGCATCGTGTTCGGGTGGGGTTAGGGGGGTAGTTGGGTACTGGAGGCTTGTTCCGTCTTCCTCTCACACCGGCTCACCCCTCCCTCCCCCTCCCTTTCCCCCCCGCCACCCAGGTTCTACGACGTGGGTTCTGGTGCGGTGCGTATCGACGGGCAGGATGTGCGCGAGGTGACGCAGCACTCGCTGAGGAGGGCGGTGGGCATGGTGCCGCAGGTGGGGCTGGGGGGGGGGCAAGGGGGGGAAGGGCGGTAGGGGAGGGAGGTTGTAGGGAGCAGGGGGGGAGGGGGGAGGGCAGTAACGTACGCTTTTAAGCATCGCAACCTCCAACACGGTCGTGTTCAAGGCAGCCTTTCACGCCACCCGGAATTCATCCCCTTTTCCTCCCGTCATGCTCCCCCCCACTCATGCAGGACACCGTGCTGTTCAACGACACCATCCTGCACAACATCCGCTACGGCAACCTGGCGGCCACGGATGAGGAGGTGCACGAGGCCGCCAAGCTGGCGTGCATACACGACACCATCGTCAACCGCTTCCCCAAGGTAAAGGGGGGGTGGGAATGGGGGTGGTGGGGGATCATTAGTCGAGGAAAAGCGGCAGACGGCATGCCTGCGTGCGCGCATGCATGCAGGCCCCCATGCAGCTCGCCTGGCCCTCTTGCTGTTCCCCCCTGCGTGCGCCTCCCTTCCTTCCGCCCCCCCTGCTCACCCCTCACCTCCCCCTCACACAACCCCCGCTGCTTCTCACCCCCCTCCTCTGCCCCCCCAGGGTTATGACACGGTCGTGGGCGAGCGCGGGCTGCGGCTCAGCGGCGGCGAGAAGCAGCGAGTGGCCTTTGCTCGCGCGCTGCTGAAGAACCCCGCCATGCTGGTGCTGGGTGGGTGCGGGGAAGGAGGAGGGTGGTGGTAGGGAGCGGGGTGGGGCTGACGAGGATGTGTAGGTGAAGGATGGGATGAAGCTGTAGGTGTTTGCATGGAGGAGGGGGATGGGAGAGGTTTGCAGGCTTGGGGAGTTTGGCAACAGACTGGGTGGAGGGGGTGCGGGGCTGCCCAAGCGTCTGTCTGCTCGTCTCCCTCCGACCCCCACACCCGCCCGCCCCCACCTGGACCCCCCCTCCTCCGAATGCGCTCACTGCATGAGTCGGGATTCGGGATTGGGACTGTGTTGTTGCACTTATTTATAATTTTTTCCCCTCCTCACCACCTTGAAAACCAGTGAACTGCCCCCCTCGTCCTCCCTCCGCTTCCCTCCTCCTAACTCTCTCCCCTTCCTGGGCTTGTTTGCCAGCCTCATTCAACACATTGGGTATTCTTCTCCCCCTCCCCCCCACTTTCCCCCTCCCCCCCAGACGAGGCCACCAGCGCCCTGGACACCCTCACCGAGAAGCGCATCCAGACCGCCCTGGCCGACCTGCGCGCCTCGCGCACCACCGTCATTGTGGCACACCGGCTGTCAACCATTGCAGGTGGGGGGGAGAGGGGGGAGGAGGGGGGAAGGGGCAGCATGCGGGGTCAAAGATCATACCGAACCACAGGGAACCCACAAGTTGGGACAAAAAAAACGTGTCGCAGGATGCGGGGGGTGTCACTTGGGGGCAGCTGGGGTGCGCCGTACGCGGAGGAGCCTTTACGCTGTGTTGACTGACACAGTCGTAGCCCCGCACCTGCCCGGTGTCCAGGCCAGCAGGTTCACACACCGCGCGCCCTTCGCGACGGGGGTAGAGTCCACCACCCCTGCACAAGCGCAAGGGTTTTTCCACACCTCTCCCACACATACCCTCCCCTTCCCCACCCCCTAACCTGTGGTTCTGGTATAACTCTGACCCCCCTTCCACTCCTCACCCCCCCTCCTCACCCCCCCCCCCCAGACGCCGACCTGATTGTGGTGCTGTCCGGGGGCCAGGTGGTGCAGCAGGGCAGCCATGCAGCGCTGCTGGCGGAGGGGGGGCTGTACGAGCAGATGTGGGCGCGGCAGGCGGCGGCGGCGGAGCAGGTGGGGGGTGGGGTGGGCTAGCATGGGGAGAGGGGAAGGAGTGGAGCGGGTGGAGTGAAGTGACGTTGTGCGTGCGTGCGGGTTGGAGAAGGGCGCCATGTGCGACCCCCCTAAACCACCTCAACTCCTGCTGGCTCCCCTGACCGCCCCCCTTCCCCTTTCACCTCACTCCTTCATCCCCCCCTTCCCCCTCACTCCCCCCCCAGGGCGAGCCCGATGTCTCCAGCGCCGGCCCCTCCTCCCGCGTGGGCTCCGCAGCCGACCTCACCCGACTGACGGCGGCAGCAGCAGCACTGCCGGCACCGCCGGACGCCTCCCAGGCAGCGCATGCAGCAGCAGCAGCAGCAGCCGGCAGCAGTGGGGGCGATGGCGGCGGTAGTGTTGCTGCCGAGGAGGGGGGCAGCAGCAGCAGCACTGACAGCACGGGCGCGCGTGTGGGGGCGGGTGCGGTGGCTGCGGCGGTGCTGGGGGTGGCACCGGTGGAGGCGCCGGCACTGCTGGAGCAGCAGGAGCAGCAGGCGGAGGCGGCAGCAGAGGTGGCGGAGGCGGCGGCAGCGGAGGAGGAGGTGGCGGGTGGGGAGGCGGAGCCGTCCCCGCAGCAGGGTCAGCAGCAGGGGGCGGCAGCAGCGGGGGGCAGCGGGGGTTCGGGGGCGGGGCCCAGTGCTAGGGCGGCTGGGGGGCGGGGTCCTAAGGGGCGCAAGGGACGCAAGTAGGCGGTGCCGCAGGGCGGGCGTCTGTTAGGGATGCGTTGGGTGGGGTGGGGGGGGATACCAACAGGGTCGCGTGGCGGACATATGCACGGATGAGGGGCGGCAGCAGCAGGGGTGTGGCTAGATGGTATTGCAGGAGCTCCCAGGGTTCCCAGATAGCTGCAGGTAGAGGCGTGCCGGTCTTCACAGTTGCATGCATGCAGGGGGCGCACGCGCATGTGCAGTATGCATGGAGCTTTATCGGTAGTCCTCCTGTGAAGGCTTTCCGTCGCAGCCGCTCTGCCTGCATCTCGGCATTGCGGCGAGCACATCCTGCGTCAAGTGTGTGTGTCCCGCAGGGGCGGCCACCGGTATGGAGTGGCAGCATGCAGATTAGGTTTACTGATGGCCACCGCAGCTGGCTATTTGTATTGAGTTGTGCAGTACGTGCACTTGCGTGTTTCGCGAGTGGCTGCGATGGCAGGTGGTGGTGGCAGGTGGCACGCGGTTTGCGGGTAGGCATAGCTGGGGCCGGGGTGGGGGTGGGGGTGGGGGTGGGAGGGTGGGAGGGTGGGTGTTTCCACGTTGCTGCAATGCAGCGGTGGCGGGGGTGTGCTGCAGCGGTGGCTCGGAGAACAGGGGGACTGCGTGCAGGGGGGGAAAGGCCATAACGAACCATAGGAAACCAAATGTTGCAGGGAGGGAGGGAGGGAAGGGTCCGCGGCGCGGGAAGGGTGCTGTGTGCACATGCCTGCGTGTTAGCTGGCTGGTTGGTTGGTTGTTGATTGATCGGTTGGTGGGTGTGCAGGAGGGTATGGAATGGCGTTTTGGTCTTGCGGGGCGCGCCGGCATGAGGGGAGGCGGCAGTCGTGTGGGTTGGTGGTGGTGGGGATTGAAGAGCCCAGCCGGCGAGGAAGCCACGTCGGGAGGAGCCGTGTGAGGTATTGAAGAGCCGTAGCAAGGATATCACTATCGAGCTGTGTAACAAAGGGTTTTCAGGAGCGCTTGGGAAGCGAAGCGGCTTCGAGGGGACGATGCACACTGGCTCGTCATTACCCAGGGTGGCTTCCCATTCGCCTCACCGCATAAGGTGCACGCCTCAGTATAGCCCCCTGGCACGTTTCGGTCCTAGGTCCCAGCAGCCCAGGACCCCTTGTATCCTCCAGGTACCTAGTCAGCAGGCGCATTCCGGAGAAGCCTGCAAAGTAAGGCGCGCTATCCGCTATTGAGTTATGATCAACCCCCCGCGATCAAGAAACACACCCTGCTCACGTGCCACCTGCCGCCATGTGCCGTACGCAACCCGTACTACACCCGTCTATGCAACCTGCCTTCGCCCTTCGCTTAATCCTAGTACGCCTGCTGATGCTGTCCTGACCTGAGGCAATACCGGTATACAGGTACATTGCCCCAACCTGGCATCAACCCTCGACTTCCTCCCTCAGCACATCTGGGGCTCTTGCCACAACCCCCTCACGGCTCCCTCGCTCCTGCATGTCGTCTATCCTCGCCTGCTCACGTATAGGCTTCTCGTGTTGCTTCACGTCTTCTCCTTATCCATACCTCCCCGCTCGCTCCCTGCGCCACTACCCTTCAAACCTCCTTCCCCGATACCCGCATCTCCCCCTTCTTCTCCTTCTCCATCTCCAACGCCCGCACCCACACCCGCGCTCGCATCCTTTCCTCCACCTCCTCCTCCCTCATCTTCACCTCCACCCTTCTCTTCGTACTCACAGTCCTCCGTACAACAATTATAGTTGCCGTACAGCTCCCCCAGCCTCCTCATCAGCCGCCGCCCCTCCCCGCACAGCTGGTCGGGCCGCGGCAGGGTGACGAGCGCGGAGAAGCAGTGGTCCCCCCGCAGCAGCCCGGAGCCGTCCGGAGCCGCCCGCACCACCCCCGCCCCGGGCAGCCGTAGCACGTCCCCGGGCTGGGTGCCTAGGTGGGTGGGAAGGCAGGGGGCGCGAGAGGGCGGGGCGGCACGGGGGCAGAAGAACCGGGGGTTAGGACACGCAAAAGCTGGGAGCCGTCAGGGGGGAGGCAGGGGAGCATGGGGGCCAGGTACGGGTCTATGTGTGGGGTTGTGGTTGCGGCAGGGCAGGGCAGGGACTGCGGACCTAGGCTGATCCGCGATTCCGCGTCCACCCGACTCTCCCCTCTTCTCTCCGCCCTTTCCCTGCTCCCCCCCTCCCCCCCACCCACCTGGCGGCACCTCCAGCCAGCCGGCCCCCCGCACCGTCTCCACCCGCATCCTGCCGCCCGCAGCCGCCGTGAACACATCCAGCGGCAGATCGCTCTCCAGGTCCAGACCGCAGCGCCGCAGGTTGGGGTCGGGGTACACCTGGGGGAGGGGGCGGGGGGGGGGCAGGGGGGGCAGGGGGCAGGGAGGGTGGGACGTGGGAGCGGGTCGGCCCCTACAAGGCAAACACGTGGATGCCTTGTTGTCGGGGCACTGGAGGAGGTCGGCTGGCGGGGACACACGACCCGCAGTGCAGAACCCGCCTACCGACATCCCCTGGAGTGTCCCCGCCCCTAGGAGCTCCACACGAACCCCTTTCCTTACCCTCCCCGACCCCCTTCCCGAAGCTACGTCATACAGCTCATCAGCTTCCCCTTCCCCCCTCCCCGCCCCGCCGCCTCCCGCCCTCCCCCGCCCCCGCCCCCTCCCCTCCTCACCTCCAGCCTCACAATCAGGTCCCCCGGCGGGCCCCCGCACCGCCCCGCGCCGCCCTCGCCTCGCACCCGCAGCACCTGCCCCCGCACCACCCCCGCAGGCACCCGCAGCAGCAGCTCCCGGGCCGCCCGCCGCCGACCCCGACCCGAACACCTGGGGGGGGCGCAGGGGAGCGGGGTTGGAGGGGTGTGGAGGGGTCAAAATAGACCACAGGGAACCACGAACTAGGGCAATGAGGTGACACGGTGCTACAAGACAAAATGAAGGGTTAGCGGTACGACGCACGGCTGTGGCGTGTTGAGCTGCTCAGCAGCGCAGGGGCTGCTGCAAGCGGGGCCGTCATGCGACTCCTGCCACCCACCCACCCACCCCTCCTCCGCATACCGGTATCGGCCTTCACCACCACTCCCCCTCCCCACTCCCTCCATCTCCATCAACCCCACCTGCAGCAGGCCGGCTGCGGGGGCGCCCCCGCCCCGCCACACCCGGGGCACGTGCCCAGCGCCAACACACGAGGGGGCGCGCCGCTTCTCATGCTGCTGCCACCGCCGCTGCCGCCGCCTTTACCACCCCAGCTGCGGCTGCTGCCTACCCCTCCTGCCGCCCCTCCTGCCGCTCCTGCCCCTCCTGCCGCAGCGGGCGCCTGGTAGCGGGACCGCAGCACCTGGCCGCTGCCCCCGCACACGGGGCAGGGAGGGGGTGCGGGAGCCGCGGCGCCGCTACCCTGGGGGAGGGTTGGTGTCAGGAGGTGGGGCGGGGGAAGGGTTAGCAGGGAAGACGAAAGGACAGGGAAGGTGTGAGGTAGCTGTGTTTGGGAGGCAGGGTGGCAGGAGGGGCTGCAAGGCAACGATGATCTGCAACGCATGACGCACGACCCCTGCTTACCAGGCTGATGCCTTCTCAAGGCCTCTGTTCTCATGTTACCCGCCCCTCCACCTTCTACCCCCCGCGCCGTCCCGCACCCCGCACCCCGAATCCCAATACCCCACCCTACCCCACCCTACCCCACCCTACCCCCCACCCTACCCCACAAGCCTCACACGCCGCGGGTGCCTCGTACGACAGCAGCTTCTCCGCCCCTTGAGCCGCCTCACTCAGCAGCAGACCCAGAACCGTGTGCACGTCGCGGCCGCGCATGCCGGAGCCGCCCCGCCTGTTGAGGCCTGGGGGCGGGGGTTGTGGAGGCTAGCGTGAAGGGGATTTCCTCAGCCCGACTCAAGTCAACGTAACCCTGGCTTGCTAGTGCTACCGGTACCGCCCTGCCATTCGCACACATACCCCGTCACACACCTGCATTTTCCTCCCCGCTGGCCCCCAAGTACTGAGCAAGCTCGGAGTACTTGGCTCCTAGAGCTCCGAAACCTAGGTTGTCGTACAATCGCCTTAGGCGGCTGTCGCTGAGCACCTCGTAAGCTGCTTTGATGCGCTGCAAGCATGCACGATGGATGGTTGGGAGTCAAGCGACGTCTTAGGCCACCCCGTGCGATGTACAATTGGATTGATGTTATATCATTGGTCGGTGGGAGGGCCAGAAATCTGACCTGGAAATCGTCAACAGCAGCTGGGGATGCGTTAGTGTCCGGATGCAGTCTCCGAGCTGCATTCCGGTAGGCTGTTCGAATGTCGACTAAGCCCGCAGAGCGTTTAATACCCAGCAGACCATATAGTGTTCGGGGCTTGTTGGTTTGCTGACATTTGCTTGTGTGGTCGCGAGGTAAGCCCCTGCAAGTGACTGTACTCGATAGAGGTTTCGCTTTGTGAGGTAATTTGCACCTAAAAGCTTGTGGATATCGACAAACTAGCATCTAGCAAAGGGTGCAGCATTAGCAAGACAACTCGTGTGACGTCCCGGTGCCTAAATAGAATAATCCAAGTCGACGACAGGTAAAAGGGTGAAAGGCAATACATACAACCAACAGAGCGTCTAAATGCAAGGAACCAGGTGCCTTCAAGGGTGGGTGTGCGTCGCCAGGCGAGATACAGTTGTTGGCGGTTAGCGCCTCAAACATCGCGATTGCACGATACTGACGAGTCGTCGCAAGCAGCCCGAAGTACATTGCAGCAACAGCATTACTGTGCTGCAACCTGCGTAAAAGATTTCCAATGAGGGCAAAGCAAGGCTTGCTGATCGGTCGGCCGGGTGGCCTCCCATTGAATTGATGGAAGCAACTCGACCAAGCCGGCAATCACGCGGCTTTCCATTTGTTACACAGAAAGTTCCTACGCACCTCACGTACTGTCTCATGTCTCACGGCGCCTAGGCCCCACACGCACCCGGAACCAACCCAAGTCCACCGCTCCGCCATTCATTCACCAGTAAACGTACGTCACTTACGTCACGCCCACGGCCACCTCCGGCGGTCCCTTCCCCCGTGTCCCTCCAGCGCTCACGCATGCATGGCCCCGCACGACCTCCTACCCCCCCCCCCCCCCACCCCCTCACAGCTCCTCGTGCCCCCCCACAACGCTTCCGCTGCCAACAACCTCATCGGCAGCACCCGCATCGGCACCGCCAGCCACACCCTCAGCAGTTGCCTGCTGCTCCTCCGCTCCCTGCCCGGTGCCATCCCGCTCCCCAACCGCCTGCTCATGCCCCTGCCCCCCCTGCCCCTGCCCCCCCTGCCCCTGCCCCCCCTGCCCCTGCCCCCCCTGCTGCCTGCTCAGCCACTCCGCCGCCACCGCCGCATGCAGGGCCGCCCCCAGCGGCAGCTGCCGCTCGTCCAGCTTGAAGCGAGGCGAGTGCAGCCCCGTGTCGGTGCCCAGAGCCGGGTCGCCGATACCTAGGAAGGTGAAGGAGGCCTGGGGGGGCAGGGGGGGGAGAGGAGGGGGTTGGAGTGGGGAAAAGGGAGGAGAAGGGGGTGTGCTAGGCAGCCACTGGGGTTTCAGGTAAACAGGGCGGGGAGTGGGTGCTGGGTGCACCGGAATGCGGTGTGCGTGAGTGGTGAGGTGGGGCAGGTGGCAGCATGCACACTTGCAGAAGTGCTGTGAGTGTGTGCGGCGCTCAGCTGCCCTCTCTCTTCGCCTTCGTCCTCCCTTACCCAACCCCATCCCCACCCGCACCCTCCCTCCCACCCACGCTACCTGCGGCACCACCTCCCCATAGAATGAGAAGTCCTCCGCCGCCAGGGAGGGCTCCACCTCCACCACTCGGGAGGGGGAGGAGGGGGAGGTGCCGCCCCCCGCCCCCTGCTGCCCCCCGCCCGTGAGCTGCCGAGCCACCTCTAGCACCAGGGAGGTTAAGCGCGGCTCGTTCTGTAGGGGGTAGAATGTGTGTGATAAAGCCACCGGGTTAAATAGACGAGACAACGTGAAGTGAACGAAGGCGGCAACCCACTGGGGTGGACAGGCGGAAGGCGGGGGGGAAGGGTCTACCCAAACAGCGGCAGCAGATGACAACGTGTGCATGGGAGCATTGCTCCTCAGCTCCTTAGCCCCTTCACTCCTACCGCAGGCACAGCAACCCCCGTCCCCTCCCCGCCCCTCTCCCCCCCCCCCCGCACCCGAGTGGGCGGGTACGGCACCTCGCTCCACGTCACGTTGTCAACACTGCAGCCGTACGTCGCTGCCACCCCCGCCGCCACCTGCTCCAGCCGCACGTGCAGCCGCGCAAAGGTGGCGGGTGTGAGGGCGCGCACGGTGCCCGCCAGGAGCACGGAGTCGGGGATGACGTTGGGGGCGCCGGGGCCCGTGTTGAACCTGGGGTTGGGGGTTGGGGGCCGGGGGGCGGGTTAGGGTGGGGGGGGCCGGGGGAGGGATGAAGGCCGGAAGAGGGTGCAGAGGGCTATAAGTACAGGGATTGCCGCATGCCAGCCCCAACTAATGCAACCCACGCCATCTAACACCGCCAGCCCCGCTCGCAGCAGGCTCCCCACCTGCCCACCGCTGCTCCCGCCACCGCCACTCCCTGCCGGTGTCATCCCGTCCCTCTGCATCTCCCCCCCATGTCCCCAACACCACCATGCACCCCCCCCACACACACAGTTCGTCAGTTTTCCTTACTTTTACCCCCCACACACACGCACCCCATGTTCCCACAGCCCCCCCTCAACCCGTCCCCCAGCCCCCAGCCCCCAGCCCCCAGCCCCCAGCCCCCAGCCCCCAGCCCCCAGCCCCCAGCCCCCAGCCCCCAGCCCCCAGCCCCCAGCCCCCACCTTGCCACCGTCACCACCGCCGCCTCCACCGGCGCCGTCTCCCGGCTCACCAGCGCCTGCAGCGCCCCCACCAGCGCTGCACCCGCCACCACCGGGTCGCGGGCGCGGTGCGGCAGCGCACCGTGGCCCCCCGCACCGCGCAGGGTGAGCGAGAAGCGGTCGGAGGCGGCCATGAGGGGGCCGGACCGAGTACCCAGGGTGCCTGGGAGGCGGGAGGTGGGAGGCGGGAGGCGGGAGGCGGGAGGTGGGAGGCGGGAGGCGGGAGGTGGGTGGGATTAACAGGTGAAAGAAGAGAAGAGGCAGGGAGGGAGGGAGGAGGTGGTGCTATGGGTTTATGGGTCTCTACCGGTGTACGCCTTATCGCACACATGCCGCACATACCGGTACATGTGCTGCACGGGCTTATTGGCAACAGGCTTCCCTCCCCGCTGCACACTCACTGCATCCACCCCCCAAAAGCCCTCCTCCCTCCTGCCCCTCCTCCCCCTGCCCCTCACCTGCCGGCAGGTCCGGCCACACATGCAGTCCGTGCACCGCCCCCACCCCCCGCAGCGCCCCGCCCGCTATGAGCGCCCGTGCGCCGCCGCGCCCCTCCTCCGCGGGCTGGAACAGCAGCTGCACGCAGCCGGGCAGCGAGGCGGCTCGGGACTGGAGCAGCCTGGGGGGAGAGGGGGCGGGGGTGGGGAGGCAGGGAGGGAGGAGCGGGTGAGGTTGAGCGAGAGGGAGAGGAGGATGTGGGAAGACGAGGATGGGGTGTGGAATGAGACAAGGGGAGCTATTCATTACTTACGAAGGTTATTACACTCTCCCCCAACCCAGCTAAGCCACCTTCCACCCCCACCCACATACAACCCAGCCCACCCCACCTTGCCGCCCCAAGCAGCATTGCCATGTGCGCATCATGGCCGCATGCGTGCATGCGGCCCGGGTGGCCGCTCTTGTACGGCACGTCAACCTCCTCGTCCATGGGCAACCCATCCATGTCGGCGCGAAGAGCGAACATGGCGGGAGCGTCGGCAGCGGCAGAAGAGCAGGAGCGCCCTGACAAGGGAGGGGTGTGGTTGCTGTTGGGTGTGGATGCGATTGGCAGGTTCGAGTGCTAGACATGGGAATGCAGGATGTCATGGATGAGGAGCACGCAACCGACCTATGGGGCCGGCTCGGATGCCCGTCACGCCGACTGGGTACTCGTATGGAATGCCCATGTCGTCTAGCTGCTGTCGGATGTATTGCGATGTCTTTGTTTCCTCGAACGACAGCTCCGGCATGGTGTGCAGGTCGCGACGCCATTTCAGCAAGCTAGCTGTGAACTCTGGACTTTGTGCCTCTTCAAGTAATGATTCATGCGACAATGCAGCTGTACTGCTTGGTGCAGCTATGCATATGCAAGCTAATAGTAAAACGTAAACCGCCATGTCACTGTGATGTCGCATTGTGGTAGTCACTGGTCATGGAAGGATGGTTATGTTACTTATTAAGGATGGCGACAAAAGCTCTCAGCTGCCAAGGCAGCAGCCCCATACGGCGACCCAAGGGTGACCCGACGCATTGTCTTCGTGTGCCCAACCTCTTTGCCCCCTACACCTCAGGGCTAATGTATTCAACTGCCAATATATGTGTTATGGGTGCGGCCCCTGAGCTTTGAGCTCGTAGCCGGTTGTGTAGCCGTGCAAGCATAGCCACAGCCAATCACTGAGGGCCTAATAAACCAAGAAAGCTAAGCAACATAATTTGTAGCAGCCATCGTGCCTAAGAAAACCAACCCACGTGTCCTAGGTCGCCTCGTGAATTCACTTGCTGCTCAACCACTCATTAGCCCGACCAACCCCTAAACACAACAACCCTGCCAGCGAAATGTCGTTTATGCATCTGCATACAAAAAGCGCCCTCCCTGTCGACAAGCGTCGCGCCTTCGGAACGCATCCCCGTCCATTCGCGCCATGCCGCACAGCTCCATCCTCTTCCCGCTCGCGCGCTGTTCGCCGCGTTCGTGCCTCCTCAGCTTCATCTTCATCTTCTGATAGCTCCAACGACGCCGACGTCATCGTAGTGGGGGCGGGTGTGGCAGGTCTCAATTGCGCGGTGCGGCTGCATGCCGCGGGCTTACGTCCGCTAGTGCTGGAGGCCAGCGACGGAGTGGGCGGGCGAGTGCGCACGGACGAGGTGGAGGGCTTCCTGCTCGACCGCGGCTTCCAGATCTTCCTAACCAGTGAGAGACAACGGGGCGCCGACCGAACCCTACCCCACATTCCTGACCCTACTTACCAGCCTCTCCTTCCAGCCTCCTTCCTACCACTCCCTAACCACCCCCTCCCCTTCCTTCCACCTCCCACCTCCTTCCCTCCCTCCTGTCCCCAGGCTACCCCGAAGCTCGTGCCGCGCTGGACCTGCCCTCGCTGCGCCTGCGCCCCTTCTACTCGGGCGCGCTGGTGCGCTGGGGCGGCGCCTTCCACCGCGTGGCGGACCCGCTGCGGCACCCGGTGGCGGGGCTGGCGAGTCTGGTGGGGGGTAACCCGGTGGGCAGCCCCACGGACAAGATACGAGTGGGGCTGTTCAGGTGGGGGGGAGCGGGTGGGGGGGAGGAAGGGAGGGAAGGGAGGGATGAGGGCTGCGGTGCAAACCCGCCCCTGTGGCCCTGGTTCCTGCAACCTCCCTTGCCCTCCCAACTGTCACCTTCCTCCCCGCCGCTTGCCCAACCGCCTTCCCAACGTTTTCCTTCCCTTCCCCGGGGTTGGAGGGGTCAGCAACCATGGGTTGCAACCCCTCATCGTGGAGCCTGTTTCTGTAACAGGGCTACCGGTAATTCCTCCCCTCCCTTCCACCTCCCCCCCTCGCTCCCCCGCCAGGCTCAAGAGCCTGCTGGGCAGTGTAGAGGACCTGCTGGCGCGACCTGAGACCACCACTGAGGAGAGGCTGAAGGTGTGCTAAGAAAACTGGCCGCGAGTTGGAACGTACTGTGTGTGGAGGAGGCGTAGAAGGGCTATCCCCGTCTACCTCGCCACCTACCGTATCACCACCCTAATCCCGTCCATATCCTTTGCCCCGGCGCCCCTCCGCCCACCACCCAGCTCCGTTACCTCCCTACACCCAAACCCGCTACCCCTCCTCACCCCCCTCCTTGCACGCCCTCAGGCCGAGGGCTTCTCCCCAGCCATCATCGACCGCTTCTTCCGCCCCTTCCTGGGCGGCATCTTCTTCGACCGCAGCCTCTCCACCTCCTCGCGACTGTTCGAATTCGTGATGCGCTCCCTGGCGACCGGCGCCAACTGCCTGCCGGAGGGCGGCATGGGGGCGGTGCCGCGGCAGCTGGCGGAGCGGCTGCCGGCGGGGGCGCTGAGGCTGAGTGAGAGGAGGAGGGGGGATGGGGAAGAGGAGGAGGAGGAGGAGGAGGGGAATGAACAAAAAGTGAAGCAACTGGAGTCCCAATCCCATATTCCGAGAGGGAGGGGAAGTTGCGGGAGAGGGGAGGTGCTGGGAGGCAGGAGCAGTCTTGTGCCGGGGACTGCTTGTTGCTGCTGACGCTGCATGCTGCTGCTGTTGTGCGGCTGCCTTGGGAGGGGGTTGCCGCTCTCGGGGCGCACTTGGGTGGGGCTCGTTGGATTGGGCAGGGGTGCAGCTGCCCGGTCATCTCTGGGGTTACTTTGTCTTTACCCCCTGCCGTACCCATGCCCCCCACCCTGCCCTCCCCGCCCCTGCCCCCGCCAGACACTCGGGTGGAGGCGGTGGGCGGGCGGGCTGTGCGGCTGGCGGGGGGCGCCTCCCTGAGCGCCCTGCGGGGGGTGGTGGTGGCGGTGGAGGGGCCGGAGGCGGAGCGGCTGCTGGGGCAGACACTGCAGGTGCGGGGGACTAGATTAACTGAGCCGCGGACACAGGTGCAGGTGCAGGTACGGAGGAGGAGCGGGGGGCGGAGGGGGAGACACACATACGGCGCTGGGTTTGGGGGTTGTTTGGGTCGATGGGTGGGCGGGCGGGGAAGATGGCGGGAAGACGGTTGTGTATCATCCATACCTGTGCGGGGAACATCAAACCAGACTGTGACCTTCAGGGGGGTCCAGGGTGCGGGGCTGGGAGGGAGCTACTACGTGCCAACAGCGAAGGCAAAGCGTTGCCAGGCCTTATACCACGCCTCAGACCGTGCAGGTGTTGGGGCTGAGGGCCTCTGATGACTCGGGGGCAGACGACACCTACCGTACCGGTAGCCTGCCGGGTGCCCTGCTGCCTCGTCAGGCCCTCCCCCGTATTCGTTTGCGCCTCCCCCACGTGTGCCGTACGCCTATACAACCCACCCAAAGCTCCGTACCCACCCTCCCTCCCTCCCTCCCTCTCCTCCGCTCCCTCATTTCTCATCCCCTTTCTCCCCACCCGCCAGACCTCCCCCAGCAAGCCGGGTCCGGGTGTGGGCACCTGCTGCCTCTACTTCGCCGCGCCGCAGCCGCCCTCGCCCGAGGCCATCCTGTACCTCAACGGGGAGGGAGGGCAGCAGCAGGGGCGGGAGGAGGGCGGTGAGGGGGCAGCCCCGCTGCTGGTGAACAACTGCTGCTTCCCGTCCACCGTGGCACCCTCGTATGCGCCGCCGGGCCAGGTGATGCGGGATGGGAGGAAGGGTGGGATGGAAAGTGCATATGTTACCTGTCTCCTTTCCCCCGCGCCCTCCTTTATCGTTCATCCGCTATCTCCGGTAACCTCCCCCTCTCCTTCACCGCAGTTTGGCACGCCCTCCATTCCTCCACTTAGGCCTACCACTCTCCCGCCCCTCTTCCCCATATCCCCTCCGTCCCTGCTTCATCTTTCCTCCCCCCTCCCTCGCCCCTTTCCCCCCTCCCTCCCCCCCCCAGACGCTGGTCTCCGTGTCCACAATCGGCACCCAGCCGCACCTGCCCGACCCGCAGCTGGAGGCGGCGGTGCGGCAGCAGCTGGGCGACTGGTTCGGGGGGCGGCAGGTGGCGACCTGGCGCCACCTGCGCACCTACCGCATCCCCTTCGCGCAACCCAACCAGGTACGGCAGGGGGGCGGGAAAAGAGGAAACATCTAACTGACCGTGTGATAAGTCATCATCATGGTTTGCAACATGTGGATTGGCGGGAGGTGGATTGGCCCGTCCAACGGTATAAGGTGGCGGGTAGCAACGCGTCCGAGAGATAGGGTGAAAAGAAAAGGGAGGGAAGTCGTTTGGAAGGGGTGGTTGGTAGGCACAACGTGGGGCGGGGGGACTACAGCGAGGACACCAGACAGCGACACAGTTCACGCTCCAGAGGCCTCTCCTCCACTGCCCTTTGTCCCCGCCCCCTCCCTTCCCCCCCAGGCTCCCCCCACCCACCTGACCCGGCCGGTGTCGCTGGGCGGAGGGGTGTGGGTGTGCGGGGACCACCGGGACAGCGCCACGCTGGAGGGGGCGCTGAGGAGCGGGAGGCGGGCGGCGGAGGCGGTGATCAGGGGGGAGTGAGGAGGGTAGAAATAAGGAGGGGGTGAGGAGGGGAGTTGGGTGGGAAGGGAGTGAAGGGGGTATTGGATGAGACGTTTACCATGAGGGCGGCGGGAGCAGTGCATGGAGTACAGCTGGGGGAATCGCTGGCCTGGGCTGGGCGGTGTGTTTGGCTCCTAGGAACCATGGGTCAGTGAGTCATCAGGTTTCAATATGAGGACCGGTGTTGATAGCAGAAGCTAGGATGTCGTAGATAGACTGAATGCCACTCCCTTCTGTGATTTCAAGGCTTGTGGTGCTTGCCGTACTAGATGCTCAGGTCACATGGTATCTGGGATTGGAAGGCTGGTGGGGGTGTTATCACTTTCTACTCCGGAACCTTGTGATGAAGAGGGAAAGCCTACAGGGTGGGGGACCGTGATTGTGGCGAGACATCCTAGCCGGACGCTAAACACCAAGCGGGAGGGCATAAATGCAGGTGACGCTTCCGGGATTTTTACGGAAGTGCAATATGTGAGGGGTGTCAATCGTTGTGGCACTTGTGTTGGCAAGGATAGCTCCCTTCTATGTTCGATAATTTGGAGCGTTCATGGCTTATAGGTTGCACTGGAGTCGTGCATGGGAGGGAAACCTGCTGGTCAACAACGGCTAAGCACCGTGTACTGCGGCTGGGCGCCCCGGTCCCCACAGAAGTAACCCCTGTAGAAGCCCAGGGAAGAAGAAACATGCTGAATGATGTTCACTCATGGCTTTCTTACACGCTCCCGGAAAGCAAGTATTGGATTAGTCTTCTCTTGCGGAACGCGACTGGCGCTGAAGGGTCCTTCCCTCGGGTCGCTGCAGCAGCAGCAGCAGAAGCAGCACCTGCTGAGAGAGTGAGCATGCGTGCACATCCCGCTTTCCGAGCCCACGAAAATGTACAACATGCAGCACCTCTTTCCCCTCAAAGAACAGCTCCTTCTGACACAGCCCGTTCCATGATGCTTAACAAAACTGATGTAGGGCTCCCCACCACATGCAGATAGGGCCGCCCTACACGGCAACACTGGATGGCACCTAGCCTCCGCCCACCCACCAGCACTACGGCCTCATGACCCGCACATCACAGCTGACTCAACAACAGCAAGCCGTCTAGCTCCTCCGTGCGGGTGAAAAGAAACGAGGCTCGTTCGCCCCCCAGCACACCCGCATCGCCATCAGTGGTATGAGCAGCAGCGGTCAGCAGTCAGCTCGTGATGCTAACACGCACCTCTGCTGCTTGCCAGCCATGCACTTTCCAGCAGTGCTGCAGTGGGGCGGTGGCCCCTGCCTTGCTGTATGCAGTGCTACAACACCACCCCTGCGGCGGGCTGCGCACTGTGCAGGTGAGGGCGCCTACGCGTGCAGCGAGTTGATGGCCAGGACGGCGAAGGCGGCTGCGTGGCCCAGAGCGCCCCAGCCCAGCACGTCAATGATGTTGAAGCTACGGGAGAGGCGGGGAGAGGCGGGGAGAGGCGGGCAGGAAGAGGGAGGGTTTGTGTAAAGAGCGAGGGCAGAGGAGGGCCGGCACCCATGCCCGTCCGGGCGTGCTGCTAGGATGGGCTTCTAGCCATGATGTTAGTTGCCGCAGCTGTTCCTTAGGTGGAGCTAGGAACCAGATGGGAAGGACTAGGAACCGGATGCGGCCAGGGGGGTGCTGCTGGGCGCTGCCAGCCAGCCAGACCTACCCAGCGGGGTCGTTGGTGCCGAAGACGGTGCTGGTCTTCTGCAGGTCGTCGAAGTAGGTGGTGCCGGTGGTCTTGGGGCCCACGGAGGCATCGAAGTTGGCCTCGCGGCGCTGTGCGGGTACAGGGATGTAGAACATTAGGGTATTGAGCATGCTCAAGGCGAAAGAACTACCCCGTGAGAGTAACAGCTTTAAACGTGCAGAGCTTGTTGGGTGTATAAGCTTGTTATACCCTGAGTAAAGGATACTCATAAATGGTAGGGCCTGTTAAGCGTTGACTTGCGTGCAAGGCGACACTCGCGGGCGACAATGCAAGCAGTGCAAGCGCTAACCAACCTGGTAGGGCAGGAACACGAAGCGGCCCAGAGCCAGGAAAGCGGCGGTGCTGCCGCTGACAACCAGGGTGGGGTCCAGCAGGGCCGCCTGAAATTATTGCAAGCAAAGGGATCGGCATCAGTCAGTTGCTCTCAGCAGACGCATGTGGCCAGCGCAGTAGAACCTTGCGCTTTGTAGTGTTTTGTATCAGGAGGAGTAAGCGACTTCTAAATGCAAGGAGCGCTGCTTAGGCTCATATGGCTTGCGTCAAACAAGTAATTCATCACCGCTATGAGCCAAACTCTCATTAACCTTAAAATTAATGTATAGCAACACCAAGTGCGCTTGCCTTCGTCACGACGGTGCGGCGAGCCGGGCGGCGAGGAGCCGCGGCGGTAGCGCGCAGGGCGGGGCGGTTGGCGAGGGCGAGGGGGGCCATTTTGTCTATTGGAGTCTTAGGCACGGGTCCTGACTGCCCAACACAAGCGCGTCAGCGCACTGAAGAAACTGATCCATTGCACGACAAGAGATTGTGGTTTCGGTGCCAAAGCGGTCCCGAAGCGCGGGTCGAGTAGCTTTACCAGTTTACGACCTCGGGTCTGGCTTTATAATCCTTTCAGCTACAGAGTTTGTGCAACACTGCTAGGCCAAAAAGAGCCACCCCGTCTGTTCGTTGCCTTCTAGACGAAAAATGCTCTCACACCAAGTCCAACCGTCGCTCCATAGGCCTAGCAAACGGCAACATATGACCCGAAGACGAACGCTATGCATAAGAGCGCTTGGTAGCGCTGGTAACGCTTCTGGGAACCACGCACATGCCGTCATTTCGACACATCAGCCTTGCCCAGGCTCGCCTGCTCACCCCGCGTCGCTCCGACGGGAGGTTCTGCTGAACATCGCAGCCCTGGGAGCTTTGCTTGCAGCACCCCGGCCATCTGAAGCCTTAGCAGCGGAAGCAACAGAAACCGCAGCAGCCGCTGTGGAAGCAGGGTCCGCCAGCAGCGTTGCAGCAACAGCGGTGGCGGAGGTCGCTAGCTTGGCCGACCCGCAGCCCTCCACCAGCGGCCGAGAGCAGGTGGACACCACCATCACTCATGCGGTGGGGCGGGGCGGCCGGGAAGGGGCAGGGGCGGGCTGCGGGTTGTGAAGCTGTGTGTTTTGTGGGCGCGAGGCCGTGTCAGTGCACCCACGCGGGTGTCATGTAACTGGACCCGGCCACATGCTAGCAGCGCCCTTTGTCGTACAGGGAGGCCGTTGCGATGTCATGGAGCCAGACTAGCTGGCCATGCAACCTGGCGGACGCAGCCGGGAGCTGCGCAGCGGCCTCTCCTCCCGGGGCATGCAGCTCGGTACCTGGACCCCAGCGCAGGCAGCATCACCCCCACCCCCGTCGCAGCAGGCTATGCCCTGGCGCACACCACTGCCGTACCACTGTCGCTGGGCCCCCCCCCAGCCCCCCACCTGCGCCGTCCTTGTCATACGTTCAGCTGCCGGTAGTTTTTTCCTCCCTACCTCCGTCAGCCCTTCCCTCTCCCCTCCCCTCCCTCCCCCCTCCCGCCAGGTCTCCCTCACCATCGGCATCGCCCCCCGCGCCCTCAAGCGCGCCGAGGAGCGAACCATCGGGGACAAGTCCGTCATACCGGAGGCGGAGCCGTTGGGCAGGGTGGTCATAGGTGGGTGGGTAAGGTTAAGGAAACGGACGAACTGTATGAGGAGGCAAGGTGGGTGGGGCCTGCCCCGTCGTACAGCTCATCAGTGGCCGCCCCTCTACCAACCCGACCTGGACAGGGCTTCCAGTGGTGCTCACCTTCCCTTTCCACCCACCACCCCAACCCGCGCCCCCCCCCCACCCCCCGCCCCCATGCAGGCCTGTACGGCAACGCGGTCCCCCGCACCGTGTCCAATTTCCTAGCGCTGGTGGGCGGGGGGGCGCTGGTTGGCAGCACGTTCAGCCGGGTGGTGGCGGGGGAGTACCTGCAGGGGGGGCGGCCGGGCAGCAGGCGGCTGGGGGGCGTGGAGCTGCCGGAGGGGGTGATGGTGAGAGGGAGGGAGGCTGGGGGGTGGCTGGGAGGAGGGAGGGAGGAGGGGCGGGAGAATGAAGGGAATGCCATTGGGAGGAAGGGGAGAGGCGGAGGGGGTAGGAGGGCGGTACACAAGGAGGGGGCGTGGCGTGGGGTTGGATGGGGTTGCAAGGAAGGAGTAAGGGTACCGGAAGACAGTTGTCGGTGCAGGGCGGTGTTGTTGCTCGGGCCAATGATGAGTTACCGGAACAGCTCCACTGCGCATGCACTCCTTACATGACCCGGCTCTTCCCTTTCCATGAGCGCCACCAAGCACACCCCTCTCCCCTTCCTCACCCTCTCCCCTTCCTCGCCCTCTCCCCTTCCTCACCCCCCCGCCCCCAGCCCAACCCCGAGGTGTCTCAGTCCTCCTCCTTCCGCCTGCGCCACCTGCGCCCCGGCACCGTGTCGCTAGCCCTGGGGGAGAGCGATGAGGACCCCGCAGCCCGCAGCGCACCCGGCTACCGGCCGGTGGAGTTCCTCATCACAACAGGTGGGGGAGGAGGGGAGGGCGCCTGGCAGCAGCGGCCGCTACCCTCGCTGCAGGCATGCAGGGGTTTGCTGGGGCGGTGGAGCCCCTGCACACTACCCCACGGCTGTGTTTGTGCCCTAGCTGCAAGCCAACACAACGTTGCATCCACACCTCGCTTTCCTCAGTTTTGTTACCCCACCTCTCTCCCCTTACCACCACTTTCACCAATACCGCTACCTACCCACCCCCCCTCAGGCCCTGGCCCCGTCCCCCGCTTGGACGGTCAGAACATCGTGTTCGGGCGGGTGCTGGAGGGGATGGGGGTGGTGGGGCAGGTGGCGCAGGTTCCGGTGTTCGGTCCCTCGCCCGTTGGGAACAGCCTGGCGTTCAACAGCCTCGCAGCGGCGATTGGGGACGAGCGAGCTGCGACAGTACGGCGGAAGTACGGCAAGCCGCTCAAGGCGGTTGTCGTACTGGCGGCGGAGGTACTGCCGGAGGTACCGGCACAGTAGGGGGGGCAGGCTGCGGCTGTTGCGGCGGCTGCAGGTGTTGTCACGACCCCTGTGTAGGGTGGAGGTCGAAGCACCCGGCCCTGTGGGTGTAAGTAGCAGCAGTGGGTGTAAGGAGCAGAGGAGGTAGCACCAGCTGTAAGAGGCGAGTGGGATGGCAGGCAGAGGTGTGGTGTGGTCGAAGATGGAGGAAGCAAACAAGGGAGGGTGGTGGTGACATGTTGCTCATGTGACTCTTTCACATGTATGGGGTCAGAGAGGAGGGAATCCTGCTGCGCAGCCATAGGCCCGAAGCGTGGGCGAGGCTGACAAAGGAGGGGACGGCGGTGGCTAACATGGCCGGCTAGCGCCGCTGTGAGTTCGTTCAGACTCCCCAGCAGTACTTTCAGACTCACCAAACATACGGAACGAGTGCGGGTGGTGGCGGTGTGGTTACGGTGGAGTAGCAGGCAGCAGCTAGGCAAAGCAGTCAGAACTCAGCTACCGTACACAGCCCAGTGTTTAGCAGAACTATGGCAAGGAGGGTGCTATCTGCTATGTATGATAGGGGGGCGCTGCCGCCTCCATTGCCGAGCGAGCTGGGGATATGCCATGCGGGGTCCAGGCGACCGGCAAGTGCCACAGTGTTACTAAACTGCGACACCCCGTACACGCCACGACCGTCGCTGTCACCTAGCAACCATCCCTGCAGGCCACTCATGGCCGTGCGGGTAATGCCACCAGGCCAGGACAGCACAGCTGTGAGGTGGTGGAAATCCAGGCCTTGCCACCAGCAGCCTTGTCACCAGTGGTGTAGCTGGAAGCGAATTCATGCCGCGCGTTATGATGGAACTCCCCGCCCAAGTCCTGGAGGAGGGGTTTGGCGCATCAAGGGAGCGCCCATTGCTTTGCGGGTGTTGTGAGAAGAACTTTTGTACGGCTGTCAGGCTTTCAGGAGCTCCGGTCCCCCTTGTAACTTTCACATTCTTAGGTTTGCCTAAGCTTGGTTTCGCTAAGCCCCCATAGAAACACCCCTAATCGGCGGTCATCCGGCCTATGTGCTCTTCTTGCCATAGCGCTAGATAACTTCATTCTTTGCTCAACAAAGCGAATCCGTCACCCACATCGAAAACACCTTTTATTACTCTAGGTCTATATCCCTGAAGTCACCAGGCCTGCGTGCCTTGCTATCAGTGCTATACCTGGTCAGCTGCACAAGACGCCTGATGTTTAGGCCCGACCTTCAATTGTCCAGGTCTCAAGAGAAAATTGCCCTATGGGAGCGGACGATCGCAGCTGAGGAGAAAATGGACTTCCCCTGCAAAGCACACATTAATGTGCTGAAATTCCTACTGAGAATAGAACGTCAGCAGTCGGCCCTCCTAAAGAATGAAGGTAATCGTGGCACCAGGTTTCAATCGCAGTGCCCCGGCTTCTAAATGCCGCTGTCTTCTATATGCAGTTATGGGAATGGCGGACACCTCAACTAACATGACTCTAGCGCGGGCGTCACCGCCCCCGCAGGTATGGCTGGGACAGAGAATTTCAATTGAGCATGAGAACTAGGAATGGTGTGATTGGTCATCTTGGCCTTCTGCCTGAGCTCTTACGTTTGTATTGCGACACCGATGCAGACCATCCTTCTCCTTGCGTTTTTGGCACAATCTTTCTGCCCAATAGCAGGCCGCAGGGAAGTTGAAGACCGCCTGACGTCCTGCTACGCAGTGAAGAGTTTGGAATTTTGTCAAGTGAGGCTTGGAGGCGTTCGCTTCGTTCAGTAGCATCATACTGAAAGGGGAGGGCCGGGTGACGCTATCACCATAACGGTCGTGTCTAGGCACTGTTTAGCTGTCATGTACATCACACGAGTTCTGTATTGGATGTTGTTTGTGCGTTTGGGCAGAACCTGCACCTGGACTCGCAGCAGCCCATACGGTTGTTCTACAAAAGGTGCAGCGGGCTATGCTGCTTGTGTCTGAAGCTTTTCTTATGCTATCGCTAGTACAAACAAAGCTAGGAGAGTCCGTAGGGACTTGTATAGTACCGGTATGTGGACACAGAACTCGTAGGGACGTGTATAGTATGTGGACACAGAACTCGCAGCGACGAGGAACTTTGTCATGCTAGCCAGTAGGTGGTATAAAGCGGGTGACAAGGTAGAAAGTGCGGTTTATGGCGTCTAACTGCCTCCTCCCCTGTAAGCCGGCTTTTAAGAACATTTCGATGTTTGTTTGCTCGTTAGTCGGTCCCAAATGTGTAACTGGGGCGCAAAAGTCAAAGCAGTTGTAGGCCATGGCCTACTGTATGCGTGTGCCTGGGCTGCGTTGCAGCAGCTTGGATACAGCAGCAACCGTGTCTAAGATATCATCACCCAATGTTCACGGTATTCCACCGTGCAAGCCAACACATGGCTTGCTGGAACTCGCACAACCCTGCACAGTCAGCATCCAGTTATGTACCATGACAAAGCCCCTAGTAGCTGAGAATGAAGCTATGGGTCATATGGCTGCCTGTTGCCAACAGATGCAGTCACACGTCATGCTTTCCTCTAGTTATTTCACAGCATGAATGAATGACCGTTACAATGGTGCCCTAAAAGGGAACACGGGTGATAAACCCAACCCTACATTGCAAAAGAAACGGAACAAACCGTAAAAACAGTACCACAACGGGCCAACAAGATGGGAGACATAGCCCTAAAAGAATCCACAGGAGGCAAGCAAGAGGGTAGAAGCCAAGAAATGGCCCCTCAGCAAATCGACAAACCACCATTAGGGCAAAAGACAACCCAAACCAGAAGCCACGAACACACCACCCCAAAGACAGGGCCAAAACAGGACGCTCAACGGCACGCAGAAAGCCGCCCGCCAACATTACGTAAGAAAGGATGAGAAGGGCCAACCCCAGCCCATCCCCGACGGGGAACACCCAAACAAGCAAAACCCCGAAGCTGACCCCAGAACCAGGAAACAGCAGACAGGGCCACCACATCAGCAAGCCCAGACACAACACCCGCAGAACCAGACTCACGCACACGAGCCCGTAACAACCGCCGACCCTCCTCCATAGCGGACAAAGCAGCCAAAACAACAACATCCCAAACGCACTGTTGCACGCCCGAAGGAGGCAATGCCAACCACAAGGCAGCCCTAGGAACCGCAACACCCAACGATACTTCAAGCTGCTCAACCACAGCACGAGCAACAGGACAAATCCAGAAATAATGCAACCGCGGAGACCCCCCCAAAACAACGGACCCACAACCACAACATTCCGGACGAGCCCTAGACATATGAGAATTCCCCAGCAAGGGAACCCCATCAATAGAAAGACGCCAAAACGCTTCCTTGAAACCATTCTCCCAACGAATCAACCAAATACGCTGGAAAGAATCACGAAGGCCATCCAAGACCCCCTCAGGAAGCGGCTGGGTAGCAGATAACCCCAGGGCCTCCCGAATAAAAGCCACATGCAACACAGCACGTTCCTCAAACACACTCCCAAGCTGAAGAACTGTGGCCATCCTAACCGACAGATTCCTCAAAGGAACAGCGCCAACATGAGGCAACTGCCACCCTAACCGTGGAACCAATACCTGCCAAGCATCAACCTCAGAAGCCGGCGGAGGTTGGGGCGGCAAGGCATCAACAAGAAAAGTCTCAGCAGCCTCCACCCACGCCACAGGCACCACACCCAACAACGACTCAAGAGACGTCAAAAGATCATGACACCTAGGCAACGAACAAAGAGCACAGGCATCCGGGGACACCGGGTCCAGAAACCGACGAACAAGAGCGGACCAGCACCTCTCCATCACCCTGCTCTCAGCAACCCCCGACACACCGTCCAACAACGCTGAATCCCACGTGTCCTCGAAACAACGAAGTTGAGCCAGGGCAGCCACACACATACCCAAGGTACGAAGGGCATGGCAATGAACGAGCACCGGGTAGTGGTGCTCCAAACCCAACACACCAGGTTGGCCCGGCAGCCCAACCGGCAAGAAAGGGTTACCCCACAACGGAACACCCCAACACCAGCTACCCGGTACCAACGGATCCGACCCTATGTCAGTAACAGGCGGTAAAACCGCCATAGAAGTCACAACCCGACGAATATCCTCAGGCAAACCCACCACACCCAACCAAGGCCCCCTCCTAGTCGCTGTCAACAACGAGAGGGGACCAAAGGCCGGATGCAACCGCCGAAGGTACAGAAGCAAAGCACGCTGCCAGGGATGTAAAGAATCCCATGGCATCACGGCGAACAAACTAAACGGCCACCCCAACAAGCAAAACGGGCCCGAATACGCTCAATCAAAGGCAAGGCACCAAAACCCCCTGCCCTGGGGTGACCTGCTAACAGCCTACCCGGAACACCCGTGGCACGACGCTCCCGATCCTGCGGACCCTGGTGCCGATCAATAAACTTAGCCACCAACCTCCCTAAGTTGTCCAACTGATCACCCGGAGGCAAACCTGAATGCTCCATATGCCAAGTAACCGTATGCAGAGCATAAGCAGCTGCGCCAGTAGCCCTACCAAAAATGGAAAGGGGAAGGCGAGCCAACTTCTGCAAGCGTTGCTCCGCTTCCAGAAACCGTTTGCTCCAGTCAAGACCCGGAACCGTGTCCGAGTTAGTAAAAGGCACACTAAGCGCCACTGCCGTACGAGCTACCGACAGTCCATGAATAACCTGCTGCTCCTCAGTACCCGTCTGAACCCCTATTGGCAAGAGCTCTACCTTATCCAAATTCAAGCGTTGACCCGACGCCTTCGCAAACGTCTCCATGTGCTGGAGAAAATCCCCCACTGCATCAGGCCCTCGCAACACCACTTCAGTGTCGTCAGCAAACTGAACAGCTGTTGTAAGACAGGAATCCAACGGATCAAGCGCCACACCAACCTGGCAGTGCTGTAACCAACACAAAAGGGCTTGCGCAGCAAACAAGTATAGCAAGGGCGCCAAAGGACACCCCTGTCGTACACCTGCTTCCATACACACCCGTTGCGACCTCGTATTTCGGGTTGCTGAGCCTGCCTGGCCTCGCAGGACCGCACTGTGCCTCTACCGGGTGGACGGTAATCGCTGCCACCGCTCCTCTGGTCCCCTCTGCCGCCGCTGTTCTTATGTTTCCGCATCAGCAGCAGCAGCAGCCACCGCCACCGCAGCAGCCGCCGTCGGTCCCTCTGCAGCCACAGCAACCAGCAACATCCGCACCCGCTGCCTCCGACTTCCCTCGGCAGTCTCACCTCCCTGCCGTAAGCCTCCCCGCCCCTTTCAACGTCCAGCCACTCCGTGTCTACACGGCGGACCTGGCCACCGCCTTCACGGGGTGTAACGCCCAGCTACGCGGTACCTGCGTGCTGTGCAAGCAGCTACGGGTCGTCGCCTACCCCAGCGTCGTCGGTGACGTCTTCGCCCAGACCCAGATCTGCCCTACGTGCGCCTTTCGCCTTCAGGACGCTGTCCGCGGCAACTTCCAACGCGACATCCACCTCACCACCTTGTGCGACATCTGCCGGCGCCACGGTGTGCAGCACCCGCTCCGCATCCCCCTGAACCCCCACAACCTCCACGCGCTCTTCCACCTCTCCGACGCCGCCTGCCTCGCCCGCCTTCACCCCCTCCCCCTCCGGCCCACCTACACACCCCTGCCGCC